TGAATAATGCAGAATATTACTTTTATTTAAACAGTTAAATGCATTCCAAATATAAGCCATTGTTTTTGATGGTGGAAAAATTACAGCTCGATTCTGCGTGAAGATTGTGGCCAATTGATGCATCACGCTGTGTGTTTTAGGATTTTTTATCATGTTTACAGCTGTCCTTCATAATATCCTCTAGTGGCTCTATTCAGTAGTCTGATGTCCTTCTGTTACATTAAAAAAAGACTAGAATGTGTAAAACGCTTTGTTAAATATTAATTTGAGCACGACACACACCGTGTTTCTCAATTTTTAAGAGGGAGAAAAGATGAACAATCAGTTTGTTTTCTATCAGTGTGCTAAATGTTGGTTTTAACATTTTGCACCCCAAACAAAAACATTTTGCCAACCCAAAATGAAAGTGCTTGGAAGTCCTTGTGGGTCATCCCATTGTGCTTGTTCAGTGTGAATGGGTTGTGTTCACTTCTTAAAGCCTAGATCTGAGCGCCGGGCGAGGTTGGAGGCCACATCCCTTCTTGCTTTCTATAGCTAACCTACATTGTACACCGAAACCCATTCTGAACAGCTCTTTAGAAAGATCTTACCTGGTGAAAGAGAGAGTTCTGACTGGCTGCCAGCTTATTGTGCAATCATGCTTATAAACATTATTGATAAAGCACACATGGGATGTTTTATATTTCTTGCACCTTTAATGAAGTGCTGTGTTTTTGCTGTTGTGAACCATGTAAACCCACAAGTGGCTGATGTAATCCGGTTATATGAGGGATTATTTTACACAGGGCTGCGGTAGACTAATAAAACAGGTACTTGGTATATGCAGGGGATTTCAACCCTGGGCCCCAAGAGCACTAGTTCAGCAGGTTTTGTTGGTGGCCTTTAAATCATGAATCCTAAAGGCCAGGAACAATTTAACTGAGATCACTCAAGTAGGTGTTGTGTGGAATTAAGTCATGTAAGAGACCATTTAGAAATGTGGAAATCAAGTGTTCCCTTCATTCAAACGTTACTTAATGAAGCGCTGAAACGTATGTTCCTACTCTTCAAATGAGTGACTTAGGGTGACCCACAAGAATTGGTTCAAGCTGTCGAAGACCGCCATGGGGAACCCACGTTTATACTACAGGCTATCACTGATGAGATGACGCTACCATTTGATCAGTAGGCAAACACAGTTAGATAAACTGTCGCTCTGAATTTGTTTCCTGAAAGCAGTCATTTTAATTCCAAGGGATTGTGTGGGTTAGTTGTAAGGGAAGCCCACTGGTTAAGACCTGACAAATGTTAGTGCCGCACTTGTCTGAATAATACGTTGGTGCTTTGCTGCTGTTTTCACCGTTCCCAGGTTTTTTAAGCACATGCCTTTCTGTGAGTACAAGACGCTTTCCTGCGGGGGTTTCAGTGTCAGAAACTGAGGATTTTTGGCTTTGTTGGTATAACAGTTCATACGAACGCCAAACGAGGCAAAAAACGAGCAGGTCCCGAGTCAGGGGAGATAAAAGAGGACTGCGTGTTATTCAAGGAATCCAAAACGGCAGCATAGAAGGACAAGCACACTTGGCTTGATGCTGCACAGAGGTGCTTTTGAGCCCTTGTGAGGGTGTCTGAATCCAGACCACCTGGATATCGCTGCCCTTTCCTCTGGGTCCAAAAAGCCAGCAGTTTTGCTGGGGTGGTGGGGACTATAGGTTTACTTCAGGGGGTGTTGATTGCAAGGGTGACATTTGTAATTCATAGATACATTTTGACTGTGACGCTCCTTCATTTGGCAATCGTAACGCCACCACCCAAAGAAGTGAGCGTGACCCTCTCTGGTTGTCAGATGCCAGTTGGCTTGTACAGTTTCCCATATATAAATACGCCTCTCACCCCTTAAAATACGGGGTTACAAAGAAGAGAGAAAAGTGAGCACAGGAAATCTATTGAACAACTATGGGACCAACTATATTTATTAGATGGGTGACTTCTCAATATAGTATCTCAGTTCTGCAATACATGCATTCCAGGGACTGACTGCAGAACCCCTCTTACCAGCATTTTATTAAAATAATTGGTCACAATATTTCTCTAGCACATCTTGTATGGTGAGGTTTAAAATTCTGACCTTGCGCTTCTGGACGTATAGGCCTGTGACCTTGAGCTTTTTGCCCCCATCCTGGTTTTCATGGTTTTTGGGTGGTCTCCGATGCCAACCCCAGGCGGTGCAGTTGTGTCTTACACGGCAGCCAGAGCCATGAAACTGACGTGTTGCACTTCCACCTCCGTGCAACTAGGGGGCGCCTCTAGCACGGGCGGCTGCGCAGCCTTAGCCAATCACAGACTGACCAGTGTACCTAGGACTCCACGCCCCCTTCCCCAGCTCTGTATAAACCGGTCTCATTCCCGTCACTGCTCAGTGTCGTATGCCTCTGGTTTGAGCTCAGGAACTTTACTTACCTGCAGGGTGATATGGATAGCAGCCATATCACCCTGCAACTCACAACTGGCAACCCACTGAAGCTAAGCAGGTGTGAGCCTGGTCAGTACCTGGATGGGAGACCTCCTGGGAAAAACTAAGGTTGCTGCTGGAAGAGGTGTTAGTGGGGCCAGCAGGGGGCGCTCACCCTGCGGTCCATGTGGGTCCTAATGCCCCAGTATAGTGACGGGGACACTATACTGTAAACAGGCGCCGTCCTTCGGATGAGATGTAAAACCGAGGTCCTGACTCTCTGTGGTCATTAAAAATCCCAGGGCGCTTCTCGAAAAGAGTAGGGGTGTAACCCCGGTGTCCTGGCCAAATTTCCCCCCTGGCCTTTACCCCATCATGGCCTCCTAATAATCCCCCTCTATGAATTGGCTTCATTACTCTGCTCTCCTCCCCACTGATAGCTGGTGTGTGGTGAGCGTTCTGGCGCACTATGGCTGCCGTCGCATCATCCAGGTGGATGCTGCACATTGGTGGTGGTGGAGGGGAGTCCCCATTACCTGTAAAGCGCTTTGAGTGGAGTGTCCAGAAAAGCGCTATATAAGTGTAAGCAATTATTATTAATTATTATTATTACCTGGCTTTTCCTCAACCTGGTATCCCGCTGCTTACCTTACTGTTTAATCCTGTCCTATTTCTGTCCTTGTTCCTGTTTTCTCATTATATTCTCCTGGTTACTCCTAGTTTCCTCTCCCCTGCTTCGTGTGTGGCTCTTGAATTTGGTCTGTTCCTGGGTTTTGTTGCGGATTCAGTATTATAGTGTTTGTTTAGTGATCTCCTTTCTGTTGGTAGTTGCGCAGGGTCGCTGTTTCCTTGTTTGCTAGAGGTGTCTAGGCAGCCTGTTACTCTACCCAGTCTTCAGATAGCAGGTCGGGCATAGAAAGTGCTGGAGTCCAATAAACGATGCCTGATCAGTTGTTTTATTGGTGATCTGCCTACTTTCTGGACTATCTCCCAGAATCCCTCCCTGCTGCGATATCATTCTTTCGCTTACCTAAGTTGTCATGCTATTTAACGACAGCGGAAATAGCTTCTGCAATTTCTCCCAGGTGGGTGAGAGAGTGTGGAGAGTCAGTAGGTTTCTGAAACACCGATAGTTTCCGGCCTGTCTTCTGTGGCAACTGCTGTACTTTCAGAAACCGTTTTGGGTGGGTGTTCAAGTAAAAAAAAATGACATAAGCAGAAATGATCAGACATCTTCAGAAAAATGTGTCCAGTAGGGTTTGTCGCAAAATGATGTGGAAATGACGCTATAAGTCCTTCCTTTATGCACAAACTGTCACTGGTGCTGAAAAGTACTGAAACGGGGGGCTTTTACCAGATTGGTAAGAGTGAAAGTAAGATGTTATTCTGATTCTGGTAAGAAACTAGAATTTTTGTAAACGGAGTTGATGAAAATCCCAGGGTACTTGTACAAGGAAGAAGAAATGGTACCCTCTCATGACATGCTTATGGTCACTTTCAGGGAAACTTAGAATTGTTCTATTTTCTGTGTGGAACATTCGCTGCACTGAAGCAGGTGATGGGTTTTCTTGAAGTGACAATGTTTGGGTTTGTACATGGTAAGAGATTTGCATTTTTTGTTGAACCCAGATAAGAAGAACTCTTCATTAAGATTGTAGTTTTGTCTCCTAGAGATGGCACACTTCTAGACTGCCAGCTGATATTGGGAGAGGAATAAATGTGGATAACTGCGCAATGTACGCGCTCTGTAGATGAAGCCCTCAAGCTCTTAATGAGGTCCTATATGAAGTGGCTTTTTTCCATTTGCTCATTTTCAAGATTATTTACTCAAGGATGAGGCAGGCCAGTGTACGGTCTAGAAGAGGGACTTAATGCCTTTTCAGTGGCTTTGCTGAGTGAATTGTTCAAACGTGTCAGTGCTGTGTGAGGCTTTCCTACAAGTGCTCATTCACAGGCTCTGGGCATGGCAAATGTTTTTCCAGGGAGTGCATATTATGGATCGAATGAATAACTTATGCAACATGTCTTACTTTCAGTTTTTCACGGTTGTCCTGTCCTGTCAGATGTGTGCACACGGACTAGGACAGGACAGGTCAGCTGTGCCCCAGTGTGAGTGACCATCTGTCAGGTAGTCTCACGAATGTGAATCCCATAGACTGCCACCATCACCTCTGTGGGCAGTTGTGTTTTTTTATGAACAAATAAATCTTGCTTAAAGTTACAAGTTCTGCTCATTTGAGGCAGTCAAGGTTTAAGGGAAGTGTTAGTTTCTTTGTGCACAGTAAAATGTTCACATGGAAAGTCAATCATCGGTATAGCATATTAATGGTCCAGGTTTCTCAACCAGTAAAGATGATTGCTCCGAGCAGGTGTCCCAGAAACACTAAAATGTTAAGTGCATATTTTGAACCCAGTGTTGTAAGACAAACAGCCATTCTATTGTAAAACGTCATGCTGAAATAGAATGTAATGTCCTTTTTTTTGTCTAAAATGGCAGTAGACAGTGGTATGACTGACTGGAGCAGTATTTTTGTGGCTCGTGCGAGAGGTCATTTTTTAAAACCACAGAGAACGGTATTATTGCGTACCTTTTTGTGAAACAAGTGGTTAACATTTAAAGTGTTTAAACTGTGCTGAGGCTGAGAAGAAAAAAAAAACAATCTTCTGGGGGCAAAAACGGACCGTCTGACCGAGCTGATGCGTAAGTGTTGTAGCGCGTTCACGCCTGAGCGAGGGCCCCGGGGGGGGCTGGGTGCGAGTGTTGAGGTGGGCAGAGTGTCTTCAGCTTGTCGTGCGACCATGATCATAGAAAGCCAAGCGGATCACAGGTGGTCAGTTCCAAATTCTCACCGTGGAGATTCGGGAAAAAATAACGTCTTTTCGCTCTTTTTGCTTTTTAATTTTTCCAAAAAGATACCCGGCCGAGGTATTTCAGTCCCGTTTTCCGTTTTTTTTTTGTCTCCCTGTCAGGACACGGAGAAACCAGGAGACGCGGACGGGGAGGATGCGGAATATAGAAACAAGCCAAACGAGAACTCTTACTGCTACCAGCTGCTTCAGGAACTAAACAAGCAGAGGAAAAACGGCATCCTCTGCGATGTCAACATCGTGGTGAGCGGCCAGGTCTTTCGGGCGCACAAAAACATTCTTGTGGCAGGTAGCCGCTTTTTTAAGACACTCTATTGCTTAACCAAGAACGAGAGCTGTGACCAAACCACCATCACTCACTTAGACGTTGCTGCTGTTCAGGGCTTTTCCGTTATCTTAGACTTTCTGTACTCTGGCAACCTCCTGCTCACAAGCCAAAACGCCATCGAGGTGATGTCCGTTGCCAGCTACCTCCAGATGACCGAAGTGGTGCAGTCGTGCCGCGCCTTCATCAAAGACGCGCTGAACATCAGCATCAAGTCCGAAGCCCCCGATTCGGTGGTGGTCGACTACAACAAGCGGAGAGCAGTCACCAAGGACGGGAAGGGGGCGGACAAGAAGCCCAGCAACTTCTGGGCGACCAGCATCCTCTCCAAGCTCTCCATCAAGGCGAGCGGCCACATCAAGGAGGAGCCCAGCGACGTCGAGGGGTCCATCGGCGAGAGCTACCCCCTCAGCAGCTCCGGGTGGGGATACGACAACTCCTCCGAGTCCGCCGAGAACGAGCCGCAGGGCCCGGGACCCGTGTTCGTCTGGAACGACGCGGCCATCCAGACGGGCAGGAGGGACTTCAAGCAGGAGCCGGGCAGCGGCAGGAGGAAGAATCAGACCACCCGGCGGTATGTCTACAACATGACCCCGGAGCCGGAGGAAAGCTTTGACGAGGGGATGTTCGTCCAGCCTTCCAGCTCCTACTCCAAAGACGACCTTCAGTTCTTCTCCGAGAACGCAGGTACCGTTTCTCGACTCCTGTCCTGTCGCCTTCACTCCTCCTAAGATGGCTGGGCTGTCCGCCCAATTCATGTTCCCAGATTCATGTATGTAGCCGTTGGTACCTTTGCTTACTACGTTACTGCTTGATGGCTCTTGAAATGATGGTGTATGCCCCATCCTTCTGACAAGCTGAAATGGTGTTCAGAGTCTTAATTTGGTTAGAGGTTGGATCAGTATTGAATGTTCCAGACCAATGCAGATCTTTTCAAAACCAGGCGGAACTCCTGTTATGCTCTGAAACCTGACCTCTTGCATAAAATAATGTAATAATATATTGAATAGTAGGATGTTAGTTGGAGTTGGCACCCTCTGGTCTGGTATGATTTAAAGAAGTTATATGTTCGTTTATCTTGAATGGGGCCAACCTGACCACTGTCTGGCAGAAGGCTATTTGACGTATCGGTGCTGTTCTTTTGTTGTAGTGGCAGTGAACCATAAGCAAGTGCAAACATTGACATAGCAATTGAATTATTGCAGATATCGGACAAGGAGACCAATATAGAGATTACCAGCCCTGGTCTTGGGACCCTACACAGCTGCTAGTGTTCACAGCAACCAAGCTCTTAACTTACACAAAACTTTAATTGAACAAAAATATTGTTTGGTTAGAACCTTTGCGAAGTTCTCTCTGCTCAAAGATTGGAGGTTCGAAGTTACTTAAGAAACCGTAGTTAAAAGCCAACCTCCTGCATGTTTAAAACGAAAGACCTTAAATGAGGCCTATTATTTTGTCTGTTAAGGGTTTGAGTATTTATTTCAGTGCTCATGTGGAACAAAAACCCGCAGGTGTGTGGCTGCCTCCGAGCAGGATTGGGAACCCCTGACCAAGAGGGTCTGGATAGAAAAATCATCAGGTCCTTACGGGGTTTTTTGTCAGCAGTGACAACATAGTGTTTTCCTAGGTCAGTGAAGGAGGAGTAGAATAAATACTTTAGTTATTAATTGTGATGAATGAGCAGCATTGCAAGTGTTCCATTTATATGCCTGTATAAACGCAAGACTCCCACTGAATACTACAATATTTACTTCTGGTTCGGCGAACCCCTTGGCCTGGTTCGACCTGTATGAAGGAACTGATTATTATTTCCTTACTCTTTCGAATGCCTTCATTACAAATTTGGGTCACCTCCATTGTGAGCTGTTTTAAAGCAGTCTAGCGCGTCAAAACGGCAAACTGCATTTCGGCTGCAACTGTATTTGTCTCTAAATAGACAAATATCGACTGATAATATTGACGGGCCACTGACAGGTTTGATGTTTGATTTTTAATTGGTTATAAAAATGTTATTTTTTGCACCTGTGACAACTGGAGAACTGCGGCTCTACCTAAATATACTCCGCAGTGGGCTACTGAAGTCCAACAGGGCAGAAAGCGGCTGAGCTCTTTCCTGGGTCAGTAAGTCATAACAGTGTTCACATTTTGGCAGTTACACTCTGACTTTAAGAATGTGCTTGTTTTGGATTCGTCAGATGTAAAACACAGTAATCAAGTCCTTTATTTTGATAAACTCAATTCTTGTGTTATTTTAGCAGCGCTGACGGATGATTCTTTTCTGAGGAAGGCAGGGATCTGCAGTGCCTGTTTTCTCCACACATGTCTTTGCCAGTGAAGGCCATCTGTTGACTTGAGCTCTCTTGGACAGTAACCTGGGGAGGACGTTCTGCCAGCCTGTCTGTTAAAGTGTTATTGTGTCACTCTTGACAGCACAGATCTCATTGTTAAAGCCCATGATATAGTTGAGGTTAAGCTGTGCCCTCGATTTGATTGTACTTTCTTGCCCATTCTATTTTGTGTTAAATATGGATGAGAATTATAAATAGTTTAAAGAGATCGTTCTTCATGCATAAAACAGATTTATCCCCAGAGTGAGTGGAACAACTTCTAAGTACACTATCCCAAGTGGTTCAACAAATTAAGAACAGGGTCTTGTTAAATAAAAGGAGTGCAAGATTGAGAAGGAATTTAAAAAAGCAAAGGGAGATGGAAAGGGGTGTTGCATTAGAGACGATTTGTTATTTTAGTATTCCAACAGCATAGGAACCATAAACAATCAAGTAAACTGTATCCACTTCCAGCTCGCGAAAGGGAAATGGCCAAATGAGTATTTCACTTAGCTGCTCTCTAAACATGACATTAGAAACATGCCCTAGGCGGCAAAAGGACACAGTTCTTTATTAAATATTATCACACACAAGGCAGAAGTCATTTGGGTACTAGATGCACTCGAGGATAAAAAAGCTTGAAGCACCAGATGGTATCTTACCAGTTACACTCAAGGAAATGAGATGTTATTCAAAAGCCAATGACGCAGCTCTTCCAGCAGTTGATTATGAAGGTGGTTGGCACCCACAGGCTGGAAAATTGCTGACAGAGTACACATGAGCATAAAGGGTGACAGAACTAACCTAAATAATCATAGGCCAACGAGTCTAACGTCTGTGTACATGGAGGGTTATGAACACAATTTGAGCCCAACTAGAGGATCACTGATCACTGAAATGGAAATTGTATCCTTAGGGAATAGTCAACATCTGGATGGATGGTATCAATACAATCATCAACAGTAATGGATACACACGGGCCATGTGATATGATGTATTGAGATTTTTAGAATGAAGTTCATTTTCGATGTAGTTCCTCATAAACGATTACAGGCAATAAGCATTCAGGGAAGTGTGGGTTTTGAATGGGAATTGGTTAATGAATTGGAAAAAAAGAGTACAGATAAAAGGTAGATGTCCAGATTGTGGTGAGGTCATGAGTACCACAGGTATCTGTACAAGGACCCCTGCTCTTATTGATATCGACGATCTAGATTCTTGTATAGTGAGTAAACTAGTCAAAGCTTCAGGTGATGTCAAAGCAGATGGATTTGCCAGGTGGTCTACCTGTTCATTTTCAGAATGAATGGTGAAACAAAAATATATACAGCTGCATTTTTACACATCTCACAATCTCCCTTGTTGGCTTGTTCTTCCCTCACAAACACCCATTGGGTTTTGGCACTGCAAAATTGAATTAGTTGTTAGAAACCGCCCTCCCTCCTCCAGTCAGCCGACTGCGATGTTTAAAAGAGGGGGGAGGCTTGTGTACTGCTTTCCATCCACACACATTCCAGGTGTCACAGAGGTGAAGAACTGTTTAGGCCCTTGATGATGCTGTTTTAGTCTTGCCATTTCATAAAATAGATGAGGAAAAGCTGCAGCAGTGCATTGTGATTCCTAATGCTCTTGTCTCGTCTCTCACTGGCTGTAGCTGAAGTAATTGCTTTCTCCAAAGGATCTCTCCTACTTAAGAAACTTTTTTCCCCCCTGTTTGACACCAAAGCAAACCGGATGCGAAATCCATTGAAGCAAAGGTGTAGAACAAGTTTTTAATGGAGGATCTGACTGCTCTAGTGGGAGAGAAGTAGGATCAGCCTGGTGCTATTTTGAGGTTGTGGTAACTAACCCACACCCTCTCCGTTTCAATATGGTGCGCAAACAGGAGGACAAAGAAAGGATTGCAAAATCTGTCTCAGGAGTCAGACTTGAGGATCCAGCCCCTGCTTTTTCAGCTCCTGTAGTCCATTTTTTTTTAAATCTCTCCATCATTTTTCTTTTTGCTTTTCAGAGTTGGCAAACCAGATCCAGTACAGCTTACTGCAAGATGCACAGCCCAGGGAATCTTGGGAAAATGGTGAGTGGTTTAAGTCCTAATTGCCTTTATACCATCCTGTTTTTTTGGCACTAGTCACTGGTGGTGATGTGCCCTACCAAGACAGATGTGTCTGTATGTGCCTGGAAGTGGATGTTTTTTCCAGTCCACATGAGGCTGTACCTTGGATAGACCTTCTTTGTTGTGAGAACCCCGGAAGGCAGCAATTGTGGTTAAAAATGTTTATTCTGGTGCGTTCCTGCTTGGCTGTAGCTCATGAAGCCGAGATGTTTAAAAGAACACTTATTTGTAAGCTGTGTATAAAACAGATCTCTGTCCATGTATCGTAATGCCAACTTTGCGGTTCTTAAAATGTACGGTTTTCTTGGTAGTATCTCAGACCATGCCGTATTTGTTAGTATAACCCCGAAAATTAATTTTGGTCAATTAAAAGCTGCTCTGTATCATCAAACCATGGGTTTAAGTAAATAAAAACATTTCTTAGTGCGGTGTGCTTTTTGGAGAGAGAGGCACAGATGGGTCAAATTTACATCGTGATTGCCGTCAAGGCATGATTTGTGATGAAAAGCTTTTGCAAATGCAACAGTCAAACCTGGTTAAGTGTGGAGACAGTCGGAAATAGTTTGCGTCACAAAATGATGCTCAGACCCGAAGAATAATTCTGTTTATTAGTGCATTTTAAGAACCTCAAAGCTCTGTAAAACAGCATGACACAAGCATCAAGTATGTGGGGCAAAGACCAGCACATGAGATTTCCTTTGAAGAGCAAGGCTGACATATACATTAAAAGCTTTATTGAAACGACAGCTCTTTTAAACAAATTTGACAGCGTCTCTATGGATTTGGGCGCCGAGTTCCACCGAGAAGGAGCTGCACATGAGAAAGGCCTGTTGTCCATGTGTGGAGCCTGTTGTTCTGCAGAGCTAGAAGGCCTGTACTCATCCAGTAAGGTCTTCAGATCGCAGGGCACCAGTCAGTACGTTTCAATTAAGAAGACTTCTGCCACCTAGCCCTGACCGAGACCATGCCCATTTCTAAACCCACCATACAATTTATTCCTCTCTGCTCTGGAGTTCTCGAATTACTGTTTAATTCTGTGTTACGGTAGTAGAGAGTGTTTACCGAATGTACTTGGCCATCCTAAAGCACAGAGAAGGAGGCTGGAAGTTTAGAATAGGGGGCTCCTACGAGCGCGGGAGTGGTGTGAAATTGGGGCTGACCCATGTGATCGCCACCACCGCCGCCGCCGCCGCTATGGTGGTCTTCGGCCGCGGATCTGACCCTTTACCTGAACCGTCTCCCCTAGGCGAGTCCTCGGCGTCGGTGGTGAACAAGCTGAAGTGCCCGCACTGTAACTACATCGCCAAACACCGGCGGACGCTCAAGAGGCACCTCATCATACACTCCGGCGTGCGCTCGTTCAGCTGCGACATCTGCGGGAAGCTGTTCACCCGCCGGGAGCACGTGAAGAGACATTCCCTGGTGAGTCCCCGGCAGACGGCGTCTTCCCAGCCGCACTGCTGCGGAGAAACAAAAACGCCTCGAGCTCTGTTTCAAACCCACCGTCTGGCACTGTGGAATTTCCATTTTCAGTTGATTTAGAGAGAATGGTGGTTCGACTAAAGCCGGCTCTGGCGTAAACAGGCGGCGGATGTCTTTTTCAAATACTTGAGTCAAAACAGTCTGCCGCACAAAGTGGCTAAGAGCTTTCATAGCAATGCATTTAATCTCATTTTTGACATTGTCAGAACTGTTGTTCACCACCGTAAACAAATCATAACACTTCGCTGAGATAAAATTGATTGGAAAATGTACGAAAAAAACCTGTGCAGTCAATACACACACTTTTCTAAAATTGTGAAAACTACAGTAGTTGAGACGGCAGTCCCTGTAGCTGTTTGATGTTTTTCACGACTGCACAGCCGACAGCAGAAAGACAAAAGCATTCAAGTCTTTAAATCAGGGTGTTCAATAACCCGAGCTTCTAGGCTCTTCTGCGGTATTTTCACAGAAACGGTTCCTTAACTGAATTGTTCATGACTTAAAACAAGTTTTGTCAAAGCAGTGCAGTGGAATAAATATAAAAGGTCCACTTACTACCCCCCAGTTCAATCCTTTTACCGTTCTTCGGCGTGACTTGCTAGTCTTGATTTTATTTAGAAATCACAGTTGCAGTACTGGTGTCCGATCTCACTACCGCATGCTGCTAGAGACGGGACGAGAGCAGTGTGAATGTGTCGGGTGTGTATGCGTGTTTGGAGGACTGTCCCTCGCCAGCAGGGCTCGCTGGCCCTGCTGGAAGTTCTGCGTGACGGAGGGAGTCTCTCCCGTGTGTCTCCCGCCCCCGGCAGGTGCACAAGAAGGACAAGAAATACAAGTGCATGGTGTGCAAGAAGATCTTCATGCTGGCGGCCAGCGTGGGCATCCGGCACGGCTCGCGGCGCTACGGCGTGTGCGTGGACTGCGCGGACTCGCACCAGGGCTCGCAGGAGGGCCTGGACGCCATGCAGGAGCTGGAGTTCTCGAGGGAGGACGACTTCGAGGAGAACGAGGCGGGCGAGGGCGAGGGCGAGGGGGAGGAAGACCTGGGCGAGGAGGGCGAGGAGCAGGCCGAGAACGACCAGGCCCACTGGGAGGAGGCCGACGCCAGCGAGGTGTGCGTCACCCTCGAGGAGGACTGATTCCGGGCTGGGAAACAATCAACGACTCCAAAGTGCTATCATTCTTCACGGTCGCATAGACCCGTGCGCGTAGAGAAAGCTTTGGCAAGAAGGGTGGGACTCCAGGATGTACAGAATTAGGCTTCGGACACTGGATTGCGGGCCGACGGGAGAAAGAGAAATGTTTATTAAATCAGGTTATTGGTGATGTAATTTTCTTTTTGTTGTTCTGCATAGGGGACGGCTGTGTACAGCGTTTCATTTACGATAGGCCAATCATCTTAAAAGAAAATTTAATTGTTCTATTTAATTTATAAGAAATAAAGATATTATGGTCTTATTAAATGCTATAATTTTTCATGTTGTTTGTGTCTTCTCACGTTTTGTCTCATTTAGATATCTCCTGTTATATCACCTGTCATTATTGATCGTATATTGCTAGATGAATATTTAAAAAAAAAAGAGCGAGGAAAAAGGGTGTAATGCATTATGGAGCAAATGCCTGGACCGAAGTTCAGTGTGTTTAGCTGTAACCTTTTTTTTTTCCCCTCCTGTATAAATCTTGGAACCAAAAATCTGTTTTGTGTCTTTCCAATGTACGGCAGCCCTATTTATAATTAATTTATGTAGGCTGTTTTATGGTGCCAAGCAGAACGCACACCAAGATTTTACAGGCAAGCTAACTACTGAAAAGCAGTCATGGGATGTGCAAAAAAACAAACAAAACAAAACCCAGCCAGACAGGGAAGAGATTGCCAGGTTTGTATGAACCACAGCGCCAACAGCACACTGACTTGCAGCTTGAAATTTGCCAAATTAGGAAAATGTTTGGTGCTTTTATGTCCTTCATACAACATTGGACTTCTGGAATATTTATGCCGAATCATTTAACCAATCCACGCGATGATTGGCTTTGTGCTGCGGACCCTACCAGGCGTGTCATGCTGCTCCGGAGCTGCTAGCGTAGTTTTGGGAAGCAGCGGGGACCTTGTGTATATATAGCCCTTTAAAGATGAGGTACTTGTAATCAGGCAATGAAGGGCATCATTAATTCTGCTTCTTACCGTGAAAGATTTGAAATCGGTGTATGCAATTTGTTTTTAAACTTCAGTTCTCTGATTTGATATACAAATTAAGTCTTACATTCAAGTTTAATTTGGAAATGTTCTAGCTATATGTAGGTTTTAAGTGCCAGCAGAAAAACAAAACCCTAAGATTTTTTTTTTTAAACTCAGCAGCAGTTTTAAGCCTGATGGGAGCTTTCTTTCCTCTGTACGAGTGCTTGTTCGTGTGCTTTCAGACGAAAGCTCACGGTAATGCACTTACTTCTCTGTGTACGTGAAAAATCATTCAAAATTGACTTGGCTTTCTTTCCCCCCAAAAGAGCAATTGAATTTGAAAGCTTTCGGTGTACTTTAGGAAAACCTTTTTTTTTCTTCTTTATTTAATGTCTAATTACAATGTTGACTCCAAAATGCAATCAAGACTGTTAATTCCTATTTGTTCAACCAAATCTTTGTTGTTTGAGTAACTGTATAGAAAGCCCAGGTAAACACTAGTGTGTGGACCCCTGCTTGTTAATGTATTTGTGTATTTCAGATTTAAATGTTTGAATTCTAAAATCATTCACTTTACACTAGATGCATATAATGTTTAGCTTATTGTTTTGTTGTTTTTTTTATTTTTTATTTTATCAAGCACATATTTTATAAAATCGTGTAATGTTTGTGGGGTTAAGCCTAGGGACAGTAGTTTCTGTTCAAATGCAGTGAATATATTGAAGTGCTATAATGAAACAGAAATGTATAATTCTCCCTTTATTCTAAATGAAATTGTATTTTAAAGCTGTATAGAAAATATACATGTTCATATTATTTACCTTCAAATCACTGTGGGAGGATTTTTATATATATATAAATGTTTAAGTTACACTATGGCCTACAGCTACAGTTAATGTACCGAAAATCTTGGCCTGGCTTCTCACATGCATCATTCTTTCCTTTCCATCCATTTGTTCAGGACACAACTCTGTTAATTTCTTTGCTTTACAGATTTCTGTATATCTGATAAATCGATCTTTCTCTTCTTTAGATTTTATGCTGTAAAATGGGGAAAACAAAAAAAGCAGGACACTACAGTTACGTAGTGAGTTTTTTCAGCTGTATTTTTTTAAGCTGTTAAAAGATTTTAAGTATTTTTTGGTGACGAAGCTGTTATGTACAGTAAAACAAATGGGTTATAGACTTCTACGAATACCAAAAGTCAGGTTGTTCCTTTTTATGTTCCAAGGTTATTAAAAATCAAAATGCTCATTCTGTTTCAGATGTACTACTGTTCCTCTGTATAATAAATTTTAAAAATAAAACTTTGATATTGCTAATGTCCAGCTCATTTTTGGGAAGAGTGATTTAGGAGGGGAAGGGGGGTCTCAGATTTTGTCTGGATTAGGAGAAGAAATGTAATTCCCGCTTAAAACAGTTTCATGGAGAATCTTTATCTCCATTTGCAAACCTTATAATACGTAGTTAAGAAAGGGATTAACAGATAATATACACTGGACGATCAGATACAGTACAATTGGAGGGCTAGATATTGAGGTTGAGATTTTATTCTACATTCTTCAAGGCCTCCCAAGTGAATTCACCTCTAGATGTCCTCCAGAACTGGACAGGAAGAAAATCCAATGTTATTCATATTTTCTGATTGCTGGACAGCTGTGTGTCAGCAAGTTAGAGTCCATTAAGAAACCTCTTAACTGTGCCTCTTCTGCAGTTCTTGCTTTTGCTGATCCAACATTCCCCGACACCCGGACCCCAGTAATGGAGGGCGAGAAGCTACACTGTACAGGGAGCAGGGTGAGATGTTTAAACGCCACGCTAAAGAAGGGATTCTCTGAAGCAGAGCAGGCTGTATGTGCATTCAGATTCCTAGACCACAGATGACTTGCACCAGTTTTAATGACTTTGTATGCTGCCCGTTTACATCCGATTCTAACGTGTTTGTGTTTGTTGACTTCTATTATTATTATTATTATTATTATTATTCTACGAAGCTGGATACAAGAGTTGGCTGCTGCTCAAGAAGCTCTTAACCTTTTCCTTGGACATCTAGAGCCAGCCAAGAAAAGGGCAAAATGCCGACGCACCTTCAAGAGGACGAGATAACTGGGATAAGAAAAGTTCAAATCGCCCCCCGAGCATAGCAGAGGGGCACAGCAGGGAGGGTTTAAATGGCATGAGCTGTGCCGAGTCTTTGGTCCGATGCTTGCAGTTTCACCCGCTGTAAAACCTCTCGAGTTGTCAGTGTGCGAACTAATGTTTGAATGGTATCAAAGGCTGATTGAGAAGATCAATTTAACACTTATAGTGGTGTGGTCCTCAAAAAAAATAAAAATAAAGCAGACCCACAAAATCATTTTTGTCAAAAAAACAATTCAGGTGTTATTTTGTTGGACCTCTAAGTGTAATGCAAATCCAAACCTGACCCCCGCCCTTAAACTCTCAAATACAATTGATCAATAAATGTATTACACATGAGTTCAAATGTCACCTTGCCACCACAATAGTATGTTTGCTTTTCTGTTAAGTCAAGATTTTTTTCTGTTGCCAAGAACATTTCTGGATTTGTTTTTTTAATGCCAGCTTTGCGATTACAGAATATTACAACAAGCTGAGGGGGGATTGTAGTTGCAGTAGACCTGCCACTAGAGGTCACCAAACTCATCTGCCTGGAGTAAAGAGTCTGGCTTCCTGTGTGTATTAAGGGCACAGATTCTCAGTTAGGCCTGATTGGTAGTGTTGGTTTATAAATGGGGTTTTGGATTTAGAAAGCAATTGCTGCACATTGCTTATAGTTTAGTAAGTAGAAAAGTCCATCTTCTGTTAGTTTTCAAAGCACAAGACCGTGCTGGAACTAGTATAAAAGGTCTTGCACACCATCTGAAATTCTTTGTGAGCTTTTATGTGCTCAGATCCCTGAAGCCATCTTACTAAGAGATGGAGTCTGTCAAACAGACCAAGGGTTAGAATTACCATCCGTCCCACTTATAAACTCTTCTTCCAATTCGGGGTCACAGGGGATCCCAAGCCTGTCCCAGCAAGCAGTGGGCGCAAGGCAGGGTACACCCTGGACAGGACACCAGTCCATCGCTGGGCAGACACAGGCACAACCGTGCACACAGTCATGCCTAGAACCAGTTTCCCCAGAAATGCATTAACCTACCAGCGCATCTTTGGACTGCAGGAGGACACCAGAGTCTTCGGAGGAAACCTACATGAACATGAGGAGAACATACAAACTCCACCCAGACAGCACAGCTGACCACTGTGCTGCCTAGAAATACCACACACCTTTAAATATGAGTGTTCTGATCGCTTTCAAATGCTTAGGTTAAGAGAATATGAAGTTCTTATTCATCTTTGTTGAACTCCCAGGTGTTCTTGGGGGGAGACTGCGATGGTTTATGTTGGCTCGGGGCTTGCATCTTGTGTGTGGATGCAGGTCGTTGCTCACAAGTAACAGTGAGGAAAAGGGAGGTGCTCATCGCCAGCACACTGTCACAGAATCGCCCATTTGTGAGGCCGAATCAGAAACTTTGATTCGCCAAGTACAAAACATACAAGGAACTTCTCTTGACGCAGGTGTCAGCATACATTCCAATCAAATGAAAGAAAAAACCTGCAGTTTTTTTTTAAAAAAATCTCAGTGATATGGACCATGTAAAAGTATATACAGTTGAATAATAAAATGCCCAACGAGTACTGCACATCTTTACAAAAAATATCAGTGCCATGTGCCGTTAAATACAAATGTGCAATTAGTCGCAGAGGAGGAATATAAGAAGTGTTCTTGTTCATGAGAGATATGAGGTATGAAGTGCTCAGAGGACCCTTGACCACAGGAGACTGCAGTCCCTCAGGAACACAGCGGAGCTGGGTAGCACTGGGATTCACTGCAGCGCAAAGCCATTAACCACAACCGGGAGTTACAACAGATGCACGCTTGGAGCGTCACCCATTTTTATTCAGTTTATTCTTATTTCTATTGGTACAACAACTTGCGACTGGGATCCATACGAACTAGCTTGTGATTTAGCAGTGTTTAATTCCTGTGCTTCAAAAACTCTTCACAGCGACACAGCAAACTAGAAATGAGCGGCCAGCACAGGGGGCTGTAGCAGCTAATCTACCACATTTGCCAATCAAATGTGATCGACTCATTGTCAGGTGTTCCTTTCCACATTTCCATAAGGACATGCTACTTTTTCTACTTCACAATGCAGACCTATCAGTATTAACTCTTAGCTTAGTACAAAATGCAGAACATTTCAGAACGTCAGAAGACCGATGGAGAATTGTGCATTAATAAGTTAAAGCGTTGGTATAGTCAGGCACAGCAATGACTATAACCTTTTTCACACCGGTTTAAGGGTGTGAAAAACAATAACCACACAGCCTTCGCAAACTCATGCCTGACGTTCTGAACGCATTTGACTGACAAAAGCTATAAGGTCAATCTAGCCTTTAACAGAGACAGAAAGGTCAGAAGATAACAACTAGCCTGATGCTAGTTTGAAATGCAGTCTGAAATGAATTCAGCGACTTGAGCCTACACCTTGAGTTACCACAAAATTAATTTACACCGAATTACAATCGTGTTCCCTCTGCAAATCTTTTAAATAAATAATGCAGCTATATCACCCTGCAACTCACAAGTGGCAGCCCACTGGAGCTCAACAGGTGTGAGCCTCGCCAGTACCTGGAGGGGAGACTCCTGGGAAAAACTAAGGCTGCTGCTGGAAGAGGTATTAGTGGGGCCAGCAGGGGGCGCTCACCCTGCGGTCCGTGTGGGTCCTACTGCCCCAGTATAGTGACTTGGACGTTATACCTTAAATAAAATCAGGCTCCTGTCACGATATACCTTAGCCCCTGCGTCTATAATTATAACCGTGCCCTTTAAATCGATTGCACTTTGCCTGTCAACCAATGCGCTTTCACAAATCACGAGCGAAGAGGCCGTAGTCCCGCCCCCCAGCCAATGCGCTTTCACAATTCACGAGCGAAGACGCCGTAAGTCCCGCCCCTCAGCCAATGCGCTTTCAGGAATCACGAGCTAGGACACCGTAGTCCCGCCCCTCAGCCAATGCGCTTCCGGGTGTTCGAGCCAATAGCGACGGGGGGTGACACAGCGCTTGAACGGGCCCACAGTCTGATTGGTCAAAGGCTGGATCAGTCTCCTAACTGTGGCGGAAAGGCTGATGTTTGCCTGGGTTCACAATTGGTCGAGTGGGGGGAAGAGGTAAATTTCGAAAAAACAAAAACCCCAGTACCGCACAGTAGTTCTTCAGAAAAGCTTGCCTCTTCGAACGAATCGCCAAAAGACGTTCCTTTAACGAAAGGCTCACCGCCACATTTCCAAAAACAATCGTGTCCCTGGCTGATCTTTATTTTTTTCTTTCCTCCTGCCGGGCCAGAGCTCTGACCCTTCATTCACTTAAGCGGATAAGAGGAGAAATCGGCCACTTGCAGACACGAACCCAGTCTAAACCAAAAAACAAAAGGGGGAGGGGGGGGAATCAAAGAACCCTGCAATAACTCGGCCTTCAGCGCCCCGGGGTGCCTCCTCCCGGGCGGTTGAGCAGCGCGAAAAGCCGCCCTCCCCCCCCCCCTCGCAGGCTCTGGAATAACGGTCAGGCGGAGCGGCGGGCAGCTGTGCGCAGCGCAAGGACCCCTCTGGGCCTACCTCTCTTTTCAGTGGGCCGCAGCCTGCGGGTCTCCAGTCCGAGCCGAGAGACGGGGGAGGCCGGGACCGCCCGCCTATCCTGCACGCTGAGGGGGTGTTGTTTTGGGATTGGGAGTAATCGAGAGCCGAGGGGGTGAGGAGGAGTCCCCGAGGGGGAGGAGGAGGACGGAACAAAGGAGGCCGCGATCGGGAGACCCGAATGAGAAACGTCGCCTGTAGCGAACGGCCGTCTCCAGTGGCGATTTAACCCCGATGAAAATAGTGAAGTGGGGGCGCCGGGCCTGTGGTGGGAAGCGGAGCGGCGTGTCCGCCGTCGGTCGAGGGTTGTGAGCCTTAAAGGAGAGCCGAAGAGCAGCAGCAGGGAGAGATCGAGGTGAAGCCTAGGGGTGCGTTTCCAGTTACTCCTCACACGTAACCTCATCGGGCTGGATTTTATTTTCGGCTTTGGCGTTGGGCTAGGCGCACACACACACACACATACACAAAAAAGGGAAGTTATCATCTGGGGACGGCAAGAACTCCTCTCGCAAGTTGGGACGCCACTTTCCCGAAGTTTTCTTAAAAGTGTCGGAAGACGGAAACGAGCGGGGGGTTCATGCGAGTCCGTGCGCCGCTGTGTCGTGAGGACTTGAAGGGAAACGCGAACTTCTTCAGTCTGTGGGACACGTCGCGCCACAACAACAACAACAATGGAGGAAAATGACAACATGGACTATTTTTACCAGCAAGTATTGCAGAAGGACGTGACCCGGCGGCTGCAGGTCGGCCAAGAGCTGATCGACTACCTCAGCGATGCGCAGCGGTCGGCGGATGTGGAGCAGGAGAAGGCTCGCCTGGATAAAACTATCGACGAGTTAACGGGGTGGGTTAACTCCAGTAATTACAAGGTAAGGGTTAAGGTGACGCGGGTTGGGGAGTGTTTTTTGGGGACCCAGCATTTCTTATCCCCACGGGGGGGGGGTGCCTGGAGGATGGAAGAAAGGACGTGTTTTCATTTTGTTGAGAAAATGTTCGGTTTTGCGGGCGCTGATCAGTCCTTTCCCTGAGAGGGACATCGGAGGACGTTTCCATCAGTCTGTTATTGCTGGGAAGTGGTAGTGGGGGACACACCCACGAAGGAAGTTTAAAGACCCGCTTTGCTCATTTTGAGAAGCAGGAGGCCTTATTCTGGTGTGGAAGATGGGGTCTTTGTGCAGAAAATGACCTCTAATAGCATGTCATTGTTATGTCAAATGCAACCCAACACCGAATATTGACAGGCTGCCTAGCATCGCATTGTCCTCAGTCGTCCTGGGCTCCATCTCCCCCGTCTGTCCTAAACCTGAATCCATCCCCCACCTGTCCCTTCTGTCGATCCGGTTCACCTACAGGTGGGTGAGGTGAGGGTTGGGTAGTTGTCTGTCATGATATGACTTAACCTCGGTCTTGGTAGACGTATTTTTGTAAATGGGGTGAAAAGGTTCAGCTTGCCTTAAATCATGCCCTGTTTTGCCTGGTAGTTTATTTTATGCCTTTTAATACGTGGTTGAGTATGGACGCCGAAGACGGAATTGAAATTGAATCCATGAGTTTATGTGTTTAAAATCTAGATTGCATCTCAAGAGCTTTCTTGTTGCATGCCTTTAGGTCTTTATGTTAGGTATCCTATCTGGAAAAAAGAACCTGTCAGTTTTTGGTTGAAGTGGTATGAACTAAAACCGCAGGAGGTTTGGGTTCCCATTTCACCACTTTTGTTTTTGTCAAAACATCTGCTCCTGAAAGAGAAGCCAGCTCTCATCGTTGTAGGAAAAGGCCATCTCGTCAGACAGTGCCTGCCACCACTGCATCTGCTGCAACAGCTCAAGCATGAGCATGGGAGGAAAACAGCAGGGCAGGTTTCAAGCTGAATTTCTCACAGCTACTCATACGTGGAGGAAACCTGCCTGTTGGAGACGTGTAATCGGGACTGTCGTTCATCTCCAGACAGGAAACTGGTCGGTATGCGTGAGGAGGGCTTGGTAACAATGCAAATCAGATCATGCACCTTTTCCATCACGTGCAGGGAGTGAAATCGTAGTGGTGTTTGAAAATGATAGAGATGGAAATGGCCTGACAGATTTATTTTTTTTAAGTGAATGAAGCTCCCAGACACTTTTATTGATTCATATTAGGTATTGTTTAAAGACAGGTTCTTGTTAAGCAGTTGTGCTCTAGAAAGAGGAGGAGTACAACTTCATTCGTGACCCCCTTCCGATGCGAAAGCAGCTCCTCCT